TCATTAGAAGATCCCGCTGAAATTTCCAGTAACCTAATGATGGGCCATGCGTTCTTTAGGAAGTAATTGAAGAGAGCCTCTACAAGGTGGAAAAGTAGAGGGTTGTCTAATAATGTAGGGGGTAGAGGGGTGCCTCATTCCATAATGAATAAAGAAATGCTATACAGAATATGTTTGGACATTCTTAGCACCCCAAGGAACACAAAACTATAATACCAAAAAAAAGAAGTAAATTCATAGAACAATTGGTAAAATTGAGATACAAACACAAATTGTTATGCCTTCAAAATATCAAATGGCACTTCACTTATAATGGTAGGTCAATGTAATATGTACAAAACGACTTCCAAACGAGTACAGGTATATGAGCTATGCTGGGAGTTCCACTATCTTCATTCTCAACATGGTTTGCGGATTGCTGCTTTTTAGAAGGTTAAAGGAATCATAACAAGTCATTTCTAGGTATAAACAAACACAGGTGTTAAACATACAGTGCTCAGCATAAATGAGTACACCCCTTTTGAAAAGTAAGATTTTAATCAATATCTCAATGAACACAAGAACAATTTCCAAAATGTTGACAAAACTGAGCTTTATAGACTATTTGTTTAGCTCATTACATGAAAGTAAAGTTAATAATATAATTTAGATTACAAAATCTTCAGCTGCACTCAAAGTGGTTGATGTAAAAATTAATAAAAATTGAGCAAGCATGGCGTAAAAATAAATCCCTGGAAAACTTTACCCTCTACAAATCCGCTCTTCTCAAATACAACTCCAGCCTCCACGTTGCTAAGCAAACCTACTATAACACTCTCATCAAGACCCTTTAATCGAATCCTCATCAACTCTTCTCTACCCTTAATTCCTTACTCCACCACCCACTGTCTCCACCCATCAACTTACTTACTGCACAGGAGATTGCTAGTCACTTCAAGAAGAAGATCGACACAATTTGTGATGAGATCTCCAGTGTCAAGCTTCCTCCTCTAACCAACATACCAGGCCCAACACCAAACTCTACACTCTCCTCCTTTGATCCTGTTGCCACCAAGGAAGTCACCGAACTCCTTTCCAAGGCCCACTTCACCACCTGTCCCCTGGATCCTGTCCCCTCACGACTGTTGCAGCCTCCTTCCTACTCTACCCTAAACTCTCTAACCCACATCTTCAACCTCTCACTCTCCATGGGCACCTTTCCCTCTCCACTCAAACATGCACTAGTTACCCCCATCCTCAAAAAACCCTCGCTGGACCCCACCTGTTTGAATAACTTAAGACCCATCTCCCTGCTCCCGTTTGCCTCCAAGCTTCTCGAGCGCCTTGTTCACAATCGTATGAACTGCTACCTCACCGACAACAACCTTCTTGATCCCCGACAGTCTGGCTTCCGCCCACAACATTCTACAGAAACTGCCCTATTAAAACTCACTAATGACCTACTAACTGCTATTACTCCATACTCATACTCCTTGACCTTTCCGCTGCCTTTGACACAGTCGACCACCTGCTCCTCCTCAGTAAACTCCACTCCATCGGCCTCCGTGACTCTGCTCTCTCCTGGTTCTCCTCTTACTTTTCTCAGCGCACTTTTATTGTCACATACAACTCCTCCTCCTTCGCTCTGTTTCCTCTTTTCTGTTGGGGTACCCCAAGGTTCTGTCCTTGGGCCCCTCCTTTTCTCTCTCTATACCTCCTCCCTGGGCCAACTGATAACCTCCCATGGCTTCCAATACCACCTCTATGCTGATGACACCCAGATCTATCTCTCCACTCCCCAGCTCACCCCCTCAACCTCCGTATCACAAATCTACTAAGCGACATATTAGCATGGATGTCACATCACTTTAAACTCTATCTTTCAAAAACTGAGCTTGTAATTTTTCCTCCTCCCCGATCCCCTACTCATGACTTTACCATTAAGATTAACAGCACAACCATTGGTCCTTCCCCTCATGCCAGGGTGCTAGGCGTAATCCTAGACTCTGACCTCTCCTTTGGGCCCCACATCCACTCATTGCCTAAATCCTTCCGCCTCAACCTCCGGAACATTTCCAAAATCCGCCCCTTCCTGACCAATGACACCACAAAACAACTTATCTACGCCTTGGGTATATCCCGCCTCGATTATTGAAACTCTCTTCTCACTGGTCTACCGTTACACAGGCTATCCCCCCTTCAGTCTATTATGAATGCTGCTGCTAGACTCTTACACCTTACCAACCGATCAGCGACTGCTGCCCCTCTCTGCCAATCCCTCCACTGGCTTCCACTAATTAATGTATAAAATTCAAAATACTAACCACAGCTTACAAAGCCATCCACAACACTGCCCCTAGCTACATCACCAACCTCATCCACAGATACTGCCCAAATCGCCCACTCCGCTCCTCCCATGATATCCTTCTCTCTAGCTCCCTCATCACCTCCTCCCACGCTCGCCTCCAGGACTTCTCCAGAGCCTCTCCCATCCTCTGGAACTCCCTACCGCAGCATGTCCGGTCAGCCCCCACCCTGTCTGCCTTTGGGCGATCTTTGAAAACTCACTTCTTCAGGGAAGCCTACCCCACCTCCACCTAAGAACTGTAATTGAATCACCTCCGCCAGATCATCCCCCGCAGTTATCACCTTTTGTATCACCGCCCCCTTCCTTTAGATTGTAAGCTGCACAAGCAGGGCCTCCTATTCCTTCTGTACTGAAATGTATTGTAATTGTACTGTCTCCCTTATGTAAAGCGCTGCGCAAACTGTTGGCACTATATAAATCCTGTATAATAATAATAACTAGAAAAACTACAATTTCTGGGGAAATTGTGTGAAGTGTTCTTGCCTCCACCAGTAGTCTACAACTAGAGTGGGCAGAGTAACTGGGTGGAGTGGCTTGAGTAACTATTGTGTGGTTGGAGTGGCTGGAGTAACTGTGAAAAGGTTGGACTGGGCAGAGTAACTTTATGGAGTGGGCAGAGTAACTGTGTGGAGTGAGTAAAGATAGTAAACATTACACTAACCAATTGATTGATCAAATTTAAAAAGTGCACATGGCAAGCTTGATAGAGTGAGAAATGCATTTTAACTTTTATTTTTCAGCTCACACTCTAGCTTTTGTCACTCTGCTGCCTGCTCACACACCTGGGTTCCTATGGCAACTCACTTTACAGCAAGGGCAGAGAAGAGCGGTTAAAAACAATCTGCTCCAAATTGCTCACTTCACTGGTGGTTGCCATCTATAAACAGTTGTAGTTTAAAAATTATAAATCCTACACTGAGATTTATATTGTGAGAATCACAAGACCCAGACCTACATTTTGATGCATAGTATGTCTCTGAAATATTAAAAATGAAGGCACAGTTGCAGTTTAGAAATTGCCCTTCAAATTGGAGGTGGCTAGAGTGGAGTTTCAATGAATGTCAATGGGCGGCGTGAGTTGCAAACAAATGGTCATATTGTGAAAACTATCAGGACTATGGCTTAGCCGTGGCAGCAGGGATAGCTCAACGTTTTGATATACGATTTGTGTAGGTGGGCTTGAAAATGAGGGAGTGATGGCAGTTTAGAAATCATGTTTTGATTTTTCAGTTCACACTCTAGCTTTTATCAGCTCCCACTCTAGTTTTGAACATTCCGCCTTTCATTCCTATGGGACCAATTTCACCACAAAAACGCCGATATTTCATGAACCATTTGGTGAAACGTTCCACAAAGTAATAGCACACCAATCGGGAACAATCCGCACGTTTCGGTATATTACTGTCTATGTAGTGTAAAAAACTGTGGGAGGAGTTAGGGTGGTAAATTTGGCTATAATAATAAGAATATATATGTGAGATAACAGTAAGTGGTCTTGCCATGCAAGAACACTTAATAATACACCCCACAACAAAAACTACTACATCTAGTATTTTATATAACCTTTATATAACCTCCATGATTTGTAAGGACAGCATCAAATCTTCTAGGCATGGGATGACATATTGCAACATCTTTCTTTTTCCGTTCTTCTAGAATGGCCTTTTAGAGCCTGGAGCCTGGATCGGTGACATATTGCAACATCTTTCTTTTTCCGTTCTTCAAGAATGGCCTTTTAGAGCCTGGATGCTGGATGGAGAGTGATGCTCAATTTCAGAATTTCCCATAGGTGTTCAATTGGGTTCAGATCAGGAGACAAACTTGACCACTGAATCACTTTCACCCTGTTCTTCTTCGGAAATGCAACAGTGGCCTTAGATGTGTGTCTTGGATTGTTCTCATGTTGGAAAAGTGCATGACGACCAAGGGCATGGAGTGATGGTAGCATCTTCTCTTTCAATACAGAGCAGTACATCTGTGAATTTGTGATACCATCAATGAAATGCAGCTCCCTGACACCAGCAGCACTAATGCAGCGCCACAGAAGGACACTGCCACCATCATGTTTCACTGTAGGCATCATGCATTTATCTTTGTACTCCTTTGCGTTGCCATACAGTTTTGAAGCCATCAGTTCCAAAAACATTTATCTTGGTCTAATTACTCCAGAGTAGAATCCCAGTAGTCTTCTTTTTAAGCATGGCCCTGGCAAATTCTAGTGGGCTTTTTTGTGCATGGGCTTTAGAAGAGGCTTCCTTCGTGGATGACACCCGTGCATGCCATTCCTTTGCAGTGTACGCCGTTTTGTGTCATGGGAAACAATCACCCCAGTTTGGTTTTCTACTTCTTTAGCTAACTGCAGTGAACTTGCATGGAGATTTTCTTCAACTCTTCTCATCAGAAGACGCTCCATTATTCTGATTGATAAGTAAAGATTTGCTGATCTTCTTGTAGCCTTCACCTTTCTTGTGTAAAGAAATTGTTTTCTTTCTCAGGCTTTGTGACATTTCTCTTCCATGTGGTGCCATGGCTGGCAGCAAGACATGGGAAGGGGTTTTCTTTGTTAAGTAACGTCCTTTTATAATCAACTGGCTGCTGCACACTTGTTTAATTAATAATTAGACTCACCTGTAGTTGAATTCTTGTTAATTATGATTTTGTTGTCTAAAATTTAGCTTTGCTCCTTTGCTATACTTATGCAGGCCATAGACGGGTTGAAAATCGGCCGATTTTTCTTTTAAAAAAATGAAAAATCGGTCGTTCAAGCGGCCGACGTTACCAGCAACGGTAAAAGAAATTGGCCGATTTTCATCCCGTCTACAGCCGGAAAAAAGTGTCCCTGCAGAGAGCTCTCTTCTTCTTCTTCTTCTTTCTTCTTCTTTTCTTCTTCATCTTCTTCTTCATCCTCTTCTTCTTCTACTTCTTCTTCTTCATCCTCTTCTTCTTCTTCTTCATCCTCTTCTTCATCCTCTTCTTCATCTTCCTCTTATTCTTCATCTTCCTCTTCTTCATCTTCCTTTTCTTCTTCATCCTCTTCTTCCTCTTCTTCTTCATCCTCTTCTTCATCCTCATCTTCATCCTCTTCTTCTTCTTCTTCTTCTTCATCCTCTTCTTCTTCTTCATCGTCTTCTTCTTCTCCTTCTTCTTCATCCTCTTCTTCTTCTACTTCTTCTTCTTCATCCTCTTCTTCTTCTTCATCCTCTTCTTCATCCTCTTCTTCATCTTCCTCTTATTCTTCATCTTCCTCTTCTTCATCTCTTCCTTTTCTTCTTCATCCTCTTCTTCATCCCCTTCTTCTTCTTCTTCCTCTTCTTCTTCTTCATCCTCTTCTTCTTCTTCATCCTCTTCTTCTTCATCCTCTTCTTCTTAATCTTCTTCATTCTCTTATTCATCCTCTTCTTCCTCTACTTCCTCTTCTTCATCCTCTTCTTCTTCTTCATCCTCTTCTTCTTCTACTTCTTCTTCTTCATCCTCTTTTTCTTCTTCTTCTTCTTCTTTATCCTCTTATTCTTCTCTTCTTCTTCTTCTTCATCCTCTTCTTCTTCTTCTTCTTCATCCTCTTCTTCTTCATCCTCTTCTTCATCCTCTTCTTCTTCCTCTTCTTCATCCTCTTCTTCTTTTTTTCTTCTTCTTTTTGTCTTCCTCTTGCAGGTCACTGCTCATGCACAGATTTTTTTATTAGTAAAATATCGGTCAATTTGCCCATCATTGCCGCGAAAATCGGCCGATCAGCAAAAACGGACGATTTTTTTCCAACTTTACCGATAAAAAAATCTGCCAAAATACCGAAAAACGGCCGAACATTTAGCCCACTAACGATCCGAAAATCGGCCGATTTTATTTTCAGCCGAAAAATTCGGCCGATTTTCAACCCAGCTATGGCCTGCATTAGGCTGGCCATACATTATACAATTATCTGGAGATTTTTGGTTTAGATTTACCAAAAACCATATAATAGTAGGACAAACCTAAACAACACTTTCAGTTGTATCCAATTAGGCAGGCCCTTGCGCTACACAGTTGAAGGTAAATCTAAAGGAAATTGGGCAGAAAATTGGAAGATAATTGTATAATGTATGGCCAGCGTTAGTGTCCCATAAAAAAATGTTGATTCTGAGAGGAAAGTAAAGATTTTTTGACAAATCTGTTAGGGTGTACTTATTTATGCTGAGCACTGCACAAATTGAAAAATGACAAGGGGAAATGCATAATTGCCAAATAAACTACAGTATGCCCGACTTACTAAAAATAATTCTGGATAAAGCAGTTCAAGGTATCCCAGGTATTTTTGTATCTCTGTGAATACGTGGGATCGCATAAAAAGGGGGCTTCTAAAAAGTAACCATATATGTGATTACAGTCAGATCAATTATAGGATAAATGCTAGCTTGCTTTACATGGCTTGGTTTTAAGAAGGGATGTAACTTATTTATTCGTATAATACAATTTAAACATTAGGGATAATGAATGTACACACTTGTTTAACGTTATTGATAAAATGCTGTATTTGCTTGGTTAAATTTTAGCATGTTTATAGATGCAGAATTCCCAACAGTCACACTTCTCCTGCTGTTGAACAATCTGCCAATCTACAGTTGGGCTTCACTGGTACTTTTGATTATTGCGGGGGTAGCTATAAAATAGGAAGCTGTGCAATACAATTTTTTCACAGCTCAATGCTTTAATTCTAGATTGCTGTATTACTTTAACTTTAATACTTTTGTGTGAGGACCATGATCTCAGAATTAAATGGCAGCACGTATGTTCCCATAGCTGCATTCTATAAACACTAGAAGACAGTATATTGGATGACCTTAGTAAATTTGATTGCATAGTATCATCCAAATGCTATCTGTGGGCATCATGGACAGCTCAGGGGTTTGTCATTACAACAAACTAGGCTCATAACACTACTGAACAGAATTTCATTACCTAAGTGCCCTCTGTCCAGGGTAAAGACTACCCACTATTGATTCCATAGGATAAGAGGAAAAAACAACAATGCTGGCCAGAACTGCAGAATTTAAGTTATATTTAAAGGGTTTTTTTTTCAATCAGGTGCCAGGTGGGGTTCAGAAAGGGCTGAATCTCTAAAGATCTGATATAGAGCTCTAACTACTGACTTCCTAATTGGCTACATGCACAAGTATAATTCTACTTTTTAAATATAATATTTCCTCCTTGCTATTGGCCCTGCGGTTTACTCTTAACAACAACATGAATGACTGAAAATTTTGCATAAATTAACTACTTGCCCTCTAGAGCATTTTCCCCCCTTCCTGACCAGGCCATTTTTTGTGATACGGCGCTGCGTTACTTTAACTGGCTAATGCGCAGTCATGCAACGTTGTGCATAAATGCAATTTATGTCCTTTTTTGCTCACAAATAGAGCTTTCTTTTGGGGTATTTGATCACCTGTGCAGTTTTTATTTTTTGCGCTATAAACAAAATAAGACTGACAATTTTGGCAAAAAAACAATATTTTTGACTTTTTGCTATAAAACATATCCAGTAAAAGAATTTAAAAATCTTTTTTCATCATAAATTTAGGCTAAAATAGATTCTGCAACATGTCTTTGCTAAAAAAAAATCCCAATAATCCCAATACATGTAATTTAATTGATTTACATGAAAGTTGTAGTGCCTACAAATGGCAGTATGTAAACTAGAATTTTAATTTTTTCATACTAGTAATGGTGGCGATCAGCAACCTATAGCAGGACTGCGGGACTGCAGCAGGCATTCTGTCACTGGGTGGGAACTGACTTACTGCCACTGACAACCCTATGACACTATTACAGTGATCAGTGCCAATAAAAAGCACTGACATTATAATTATGACATCTGGGGCAATCAAGGGGTTTACTGTGTCCTGTGTGCTGTTTTGCATAATGTGCTGTGTGTGTTTTACTAGGGAAACATGCTGCTGTGTATTTATTTGCTGTGCAGGGAAATACACAGCAGCATGTTCTTGCTGGCAGGATAGAGACCTGTGTTGTTTACACAGAGGTCTCTCCGCTGTCAGTGTTACTCGGCAGTCGCCGAGTGCCAGCAGGGAATCTCCGGCAGGGGCCCGGTGGTTGACACCTGTAGCCACAATCCGCAAGGGCCCCCTACCTGGAAATGCAAATCATGTATATATATATATATATATATATATGTGATTTTTTGCACAACCCTGCTGCCCTGTAGCAGTAGTTCTACTATAGGGCGGCGGGGAAGCGGTTAAAGTATATGTAAACCCTGCCCTTGTAAAACAACTCATTCAGTTTCAAATAGACATTAAAGGCAAACAAATGTGTGTATACATTTAAAAAACATTATAAGTACCTTTTTTCCTTATTTATAAGTTATCATTTACCCTCTGTTCTCAGCTACCTAAGGAGCTAGGGGAGGAGAAACAGCACCACACTGAACTTCCCAGTAAATGGCTGTGCAGGGGGCGTGTCAGCAGAAGTCTAATCATGGGAGGAAAGCAGGCTGAGTTGCAGCAAAGCTAGAAAACTGACCATGCTGTGCTATCCTGTCTGGTGTGGTCAGTTTTAATAGGAAAGCAGAGGGACTGCAGGAACACCAGATATTTCACACAAATGTAGTAATTTAAAGAGAACAGGACCTTTTTCATACAAATACATGATACAGCAGGCACATATCAGGAATACAAAATGTTGGATGTACATATTCTTTAACTAAGCTTTACTCTTCTGGTAGAGAACAAAAAAGTATGTTGTAGATTTACTAAGGCTTAGTTCACATATTTTTGCTTTTGATGCTTTCTCTAGTGCTTTTTGCTGTTGTTGCTTTGTGTTTTTATACAAACGTTTTTGACACATTCTTGATGCACTTTTTATTTTGTTCAGCTTTTTTTTTTTTTTTGTTAAAGTGGAATTATTTTTTGTTTCTGGGCAGAATAAAAATGCAAACGCAGCAAAAACGTGGAAAAAACACGGCAAAAACACACTACAAAGCATTTTGGCAGATTCTCCATTGAACTGTATTGTAGCAAAAACGCTGCTTTTTGCTTTTAAAAAAGTCCATGACCCTTTCCAAAAATGCAGCAGCTCAAAAAAGCATAGATGTGAACATGTCCATAGGAAACCGTGTTAAATGGACTTTCTGCATTTCTGCAAAAAGCACTAAAAAACACATTGGTGTGAACGGAGCCTAAAACTGGACCACCCAGAATCTGGTGCAGCTGTGCTTGGTAGCCAATCAGCTTCTAACCTCAGCTTGTTCAATTACTCTTTGGCAATAACACCTGGAAGCTGTTTGGTTTCTATGCAGAGCTGCCCCAGATTGTGCATACTTCAGTTTTAGTAAATCTGACTTTTACAAAATGCACATGTTGTTAGAGAGACAAATGTTGCCAAGATAGATGTGATGTTTTCACAGTTTCAGCCTTATTGTATTTTTCCAGAAAAAATAATGTGTATTTTATAACAAGCGTATACAAGTATACATTATAAGGGTTCTTACACATGGGCCACATTTTTAGGCTTTCATTCATGTTGTTTGCTAATCTGAAGGCAGACCATTGCTTTCCTTGGGTACATAAATACCAGTAAACTAGCTCCGCATTCAGTAAAAAAAACAAAAAAGCAAAAAAAAAAAAAAAAACATTTACATTTACTGGCCAGTATTTGTTTTTTGCTCATAAGGGCAAATACACACAAGTACACATGTACTCACATAAATCACACTTCCCCCTTTAATGGTAAATTATAGTACTGAAATATTTAATATTTTGGGACCTAGAAGATTTTTTTACACATGTATATATGCATATACAAACATGCACTATGCAGACCATACTTACTTTTTTGCCCAGGAACATTCTGCCAGGAAGATCCAGTGTTCATACATCAGTACCATCTGCAAGGACCTTTAGTGCACTTATTATTGTCATAAGTAATGAGGACATACTGTAAATGGAATATAACATCTTTTAGAGAGTGTACTGGGTTCTCACCTTTTCCTTTTTGTTAACTATTATACAGTATCTGCTCTTTGTACTGAAGTACTGTAATTAACAGCATACAGTTAACACAAGCTTTATCAAGGAAATACTGTATAATTAATATCACAGTTTGGTTGCTAAATATGTTGTTACATTACAGCACTTAATTTGTGAATTTTATTTGACTTCAATAAGTTTTTTTTTTTTAACTCTGCTTCATTATTGTGAAAATAATACGAGGTTTGCAGTGTACCGTAAGTGTTGAAAAAATGGTAACTTCTGCAAAGTGTCACTAAAAGCACAACTTTTTCTTCATATTTGGATAGAGTAAAGGAGGGTTATAACTCCTGCAATTCTTTTGCAATCTCTGTCCCATTGGGGAGATTTCCTTTCACTTCTTTTCCATAGCCAAACTAGGAAGTGAGAGAATATCTCTCCAAAGTGAGGAAATCGGGGGGTATCAGCAGGGTCACCAGAACTAGTGTCCTCTTTGGAAGTTTTTCCCTCTATTGCTGTTCTGATGTCAACCCAAAATGTGGGATTTTCTTTTACTGTCACTTTCACTGATAATGGTAAACAGGATAAATAGAGAGGGTGAAGTTCCCCAAAGGGGTCACAGATAGAAATAAAACCTGACAAAAGTTCAAATCCCTCTCCACTCTATTCAAAAACTAAAAAATAGTTTTGTCTTCAGTTTCACTTCAGTGTCATTTCTTACCTTTGTGGAATTTCTTCTTTTTTGAGCCCAGTTAAACACCCACTGAGTAATCCCAACTTGAATGATTTAGGGCTCGGTCTCCTTTATTTCCTTTTACCTAACATTACCTTTTACCTAAGCAGGAGTTACCTGGTCTGGCCTGCCCATTCACACTCATTCCTATTGCATTATGAGACATGCAGTCTGAAAGAGCAGTGATGGACACTAACAGGAAGTGATGTCACTACTTTTTTTTTAAAAAAGTGAATTTAGCC